AGCAGCACAAAATTTAGTTGCATGATCTTGATAATTCATTAACCATTTATATCCTCGACATGGAGTTGATTGAAAGTCGATCAAATCAACTTGACTGCGAAGGTTAAAATCTTTTGTTGTGATTGGTCTTACCACAATATTACGTTGTTGTTGAGATTTCTTCGTATTACACATTTTACAAAGCGATACAAACATTTCAACTGCTGGTCTGGGAATGTAAAATTTATTTTTTAATTCAAACAGCATTTTATCTCTTCCTCCATGTCCAGTGGCACGGTGACATTGAAGAAGTCTGTCAAAGTATTCTTCAACCGGAATCATTACTACTACAGGATCCTCATTACTTCTTCTTTTTTTGATTAAAACTCTTGTTTCGCCAATCTCCATTGTGTCGTATTTTCTGGTTAATCCATATTGTCTACTAGTCTTCTTTTTTTCAGGGTTATTTGCATCCAAAATTTCTCGAATTGCTTCTTCCACAGTTGCTTTTGTCCAAGGCTTCTTTACGACATTTTCACTCTTATTGCAGTATTCTTTCATTTGCGCATTAAAGTTTATTCTCATGTTATTTTCGTCCTGGAAATCAGTTCCATCAGTTTGGATATTGTCGTCCATACTGCAAGCACCTATGTTAACATAAGTACGACTTTAAATTTAATATGTAGTTATTTGTAGAAAGTTAATCGACTAAAGCAGTGTCTAGCTGTTAATTTCAAACACAGTTGTTAGATGTAGTACAATCAGTTTATAGAAAGTAACAGTTTAATGTTTTGTTTTCATTATTAGTTGTTTGTCCTTGACTGCACTGCAACAATAGTTATACTAACCTATAAGAAAACCAAGAACAATATGCCGGATTTTGCAATATGCCTACGACATATATATACCACGACAAATGATCAAAATACAGAAATCAAGGAAAAGTTTTACAATTGACTATAAACAACTATGCAACAAATAAGGTGCAATTCTAAAAGAAATGGAGTAAGGGAAAAAAAGGAGAAGAAGAAACATCAAAAACCTAAACGCTTACAACAATTTGTTAGCATTACAAATGAGTAATTAATAAAATTAATTCAAGTGCATTTTACTGTTGCATTTTTTTTAAGATTCAATATAAAGTGGTGAAAGTCCAAGTTCAATAAATTGGTTAATGTAACTGCCTCTAATTTGTTTTCTAAATTAGTCGAGAACATCGCTATGGACGAAGTTATCGTTGATTTACAACAAGGTTTAGTACGCGGAAAATTATCTAGAAACTATAAGAATGGTATATTTTACAGCTTTTATAGCATACCTTATGCAAAACCACCTCTTGGAAAATTACGATTTAAGGTAATTAAATTTAATTTTATATTTATTACACCAATTATTATTATTAAATAGAATCCTGAAGCACCCGAACGTTGGATCGGAACTTTAGACGCTACTACTGAAAAAGATGGGTGCATTTCAAAAAATATTTTCACACGAAAACTTGAAGTTTCCGAAGATTGTCTTCATCTGAATGTTTACACCCCCAATTTAAATAAATGTCGATCATCGCCATTAAAACCTGTTATAGTTTTCGTTCACGGACACGGTTTTATTGCTGGAAATGCAAAAACCGAACTTCACGGTCCAGATTTTTTTTTAACTGAAGACATTGTTCTGGTAACGGTTTGTTATCGATACGGGGCCTTTGGCTTTTCATACCTTGAAGATCAATCATTGGGAGTAACCGGAAATCAAGGCATCAAAGATGTTGTAATGTCCTTGAAGTGGGTGCAAAAAAATATTACGAGTTTTTGTGGGGATCCGGATAATGTTACGCTTTTTGGAGCTTGTAGTGGCGCTGCTATTGCACATCATATTATGTTATCATCGTTATGTAACGGATTCGTACATAAATTAATTCTTCATGGTGGATGTAGTTTCTGTTCATGGGCAACTAGCAGAAAAGATTCATTAAAAAAACTCGGGGAGGTGTTAAAATTTGATGGTGAAACTGAAAATGAATTATTGGAATTTTTACAAAAAGAATCAAGTATTTCGATTTATGAAGGTCAAAGAAAAGTTTTGGCTAGTTCGGTATTTATTTAATTTATTTATTGTTTTTGTGTAAACACTTTTGTTTCTAGATTCTTGCCCCGAATGTTCAAAAATATTTCTATCCCATAATTGAAAATCAATTAATTAATTCAGTTCTTACGGAAGATCCAAGGTTGATTATATCGAAAGGAAAATATACAAAAATGCCTCTTCTCATTGGATATACAACCCACGAAGGTTTCCTATTTGAGAAAGAAACAGAAAAAAGATTTAAGGAAAATTCAGGTGTTATTAATAACCTGGATGATTTAATTCCATACAATTTAAATTTAAAGCCAGAAAGTTTAGAATCAAAAGAAGTACTTGAAAAAATTAAAAAATTTTATTTTAACGGGAATTATCCAAAGGAGAAAGATTTACAAAAATATTTACAAGTATGTATTTAATTCCCACATCCATAATTCCTTACATGCTTGAAAATGACACAAAAATGTTACATTTTAGGTTAAAGCTGATATATATTGTACACACCCGATACAAACAGCGATAAAAGCACATTTAACCACCCAAGCTTTACCAATTTATTTTTTTAAATTTGCTTTCCATGGAAAATTAAATCTCTATAAAAAATTGCAAGGAGTAACAAAGCCGGTTCCTTCACATTACGATGAATTGTGTTATTTATTTAAAATGTTTGGAAATTCAGAAGTCGAAGAACACAGTGTTGAAGATTTAACAATAAAGCGTATGGTTAGATTATGGACGAATTTTGCAAAATACGGAAATCCGAATGGCAAAAATGTTAATGATGATTTAATTAATGTTAAATGGAATCCGGTGGAATTAAATAAATTTCATTATTTATGTATTGATAAAGAGTTAACGAACGGAATAAGTTCGGATGAAGATCGAGTGAGATTTTGGGAAAGCTTTTATAAAAAGCAGCATAAAATTTGATAACGTTTGTTTAATTTACTAATCTGTATTGGTGTTTATGATAATAATAGGAGTAATATTTTTTTTGTAATTTAGAATTATTTTTAGCCAATCTTCAAATTATTTCTTTCTTTTGTTTACAAAACAATAATACCAAGTATTGTATTTATTATCCATTAGCTAGATCAAGATGAGTGAAATATTTCTTATCCAGTTATTAATCTATCAACGACATAAAAACTTGAATATTCACTACTTCTATTCCTCCTATTGGTTGACATTTTCCTCCTACAATTCCTGCCAATCTAATATCAGATTTGTAATAAAGATTCAATTTATCAAAAAGTCTATAAAATATTCAGAAATTGATGGGATTTCCATTTCCAATATGTTTTCCCTTTGCGCTATCAACTAAGCATATGCAAAAATTACAACGGAATTATTTTAAATGAAAGAACATTTGAAGAAGATAGTGACTAGTACCGGAACCGAGATACGAAGAAACTCTGGAAACTCGAAGAAATCCCTGAAAAGGATGCAATACCTGCTGAACTATTGATAGTATCAGCAGAGAACGTGTAGGGAGGAGTTAATATGGAAAATGTTTAGTTGTCAGTTTTTCTCCTATCAGCTCGAGTGTTATAATCATCGAATCGTAAGCATTCCAACAAATAATCAAAACGGTCGCAGCTCATGGTGACGTGGTATCTATTACCATTGATTTCTGGGTTAAGAATTAATAACCCTAATAGAGCATCAAATTCGGTATCACTCATCACACTAACAGATTTATTTTGTGCCTTATAGTTAGCACTCTTTTCTTGAATTTTCAAGTTTGTATTTTTGATTTCGTCAGTTAAAAAAAGTCTGAAAACTTCTATCGGTATTATTTTGTTTTTTGCAATATCAGTGCATCCTGGTGTAATATGAATAATATTTCTGCCTATCGATGATCTATTTCTAGCAGCCATTGACTTGTTTGTCCAACGATGCCTATTTTTCCCTCTGAGACTAATTGTATCGCAAACCACTACGTGTGAATCAAAAACAACAGGATTAACGTTATCAGTCCTTTTCTTCTTCCTAACCGGTGGTAGAGGTTCTTCTTCATCCATACTTGAAACGTCTGATAGCTCTAGGTCTGCATCAGGGTCGTAGTGTGGGTCTTCATCAGTATCATCACTGTTTATAACGCCATCATACTTATACCAGAGGATCTACTTCATCATCCGATCCAGAATCATTGTCAGATGTATCACTATCACTCTGTAGCAAGTATTTTTCAATTTTACTTTCAGTACACTTCCGAATCATTTTTGGAACTTATTTATATTTACATTAACGTATGTACATTTACCACTAAAACTACGCATGAGAACAAAATATTAACACTTTTCAATCAATAATAATCCATAAATAAAACGGGTTTGTAAAAAAATCCAAGTGTTAAAGCTAAACTATCGTAAAATTTACGAGTGATCGAAAGCAGAGCGAAAATGACAAACTGCAAAGAAGTGCACCAAACAATAACTGATGAAGCAGCGCCAGTAAGGCACGGAACCAGACGGACGAATCAATCGTCGCAGGGTGATGTAAGAAAACTAAACAAAAAAAAACACTCGTAATTTTTACGATAGTTTAGCTTTCTAGGGTTAATTACACAGTGCAACAGCCATTCTGGGGGGTGAAAAATTTTAAGTCAGGGTGAAAGTACTAGGTCAATATAGTAAAACCTCCAAAGATATCTCTCTTTTTTATGAACTTTTATATTTCTTTCCTTATCTTGATGTTTGTTTGCTTAGTTTTTCAGTTATAACGCAAGAATCATTGATGATTTCTCATTTCATTCTTCAACAAAGATTAAGGCTTAGCTAAGACTTAAATAAATAATTTGCATTAATATATCCATGTAAAATATTAAGTTGGAATAATTTTATCAACTGAAATCTTCAAAAAATTGTCAAATTTCGAAAAAAAAAAAAATTCTCTAGAATTGTAACTATAAAAGAGTATTCTAATATAAGTATATAGTAATATAGTAGTACTATATTAGAGAGAGAACAATATTTATTTGGAATATAAAAACAATAACTATAACAAATACGAATAAATAAAAAAAAATACATATATAAAACAAATATAAGATAAGTCCAAAAGGGAGACCTGAGACTTGAGTATTCCTGCCCAAAGAGTATTGATTTTATGAAAATTAATAAAAATTAAGGCCAATCTTAGTTTAAAGAAGAATAAAATTCATAAACATTGCTCTAGAATCTCTAGATATAAGTACGAAGGCTTTCACGGCCGGTGTGAATTAAACTAAGATTAGAACTAAAACTAGAACTAACACTAGAAACTTTCGGGTTTTGCGTGCGTCTTTTAATAAAAGGTTTGACGTTTCGGATGCCATGTTGCAACCTTCTTCAGAAACTGGTTCGAAGTGACGAGATCAAAAAATCGGTAACTATATATAAGTCGGAAAAACTAATTAATAATCAGTTAACGCTAATTACAAACTAATTAATAATTAATTGCGTCGCGTCCGGTGTGAGGCGGGAAGAGAGCTTAGCAGAACATGGAAGATGGTGGTGAACACGAAACGTATTGATACGATTTTCTTGCCGTTTTTCTTAATGCGGCTCCTTTATTGGCACATGCGTAGCAATTCAATACATTGTGACCGTCGCCAGGATTAGTCCAAATCATTGGAATACCGAATGGCATAGATTCACGTCTTCTATTTTTCCAATCCATTAGACGATTGTAACAAGTTTTACACACTATATTGGGAACCCAATTTTTGTTCACTATAACATTTTGGTGTAAGTCACCTCGTATGTTTGAACAAAATATGCATTGAAATTTCCCTTTTTTTCATGTTTTGGTACATATTTACCGCAGCAATAGCAAAAGCAATTTATACCTGGCTTGCACACTTCCATTTTTCGCGTTAAATTAAATGTTTATGTCCATATAAAATGTGAAATACGGATGCTTGGAACGCAATTAAAGAAGTAATAGAAGGCTTGTTGGGAAAGCATCGTTCTAGCAACTACAATGTTTCTGTCGCAAGGATGTTAACATCGTTCTCGAAAATTGGCGTCCACATGTCCTTGAAAATTCATTATTTACATCGTTATCTGGACTACTTCAGCAGACAATTGGCCACTGAATCTGATGAACAAGGCGAACGCTACCATCAAGTTGCTATGCCATTTGAAATTAGGTAATATCTATGAGATTTTTTTCAAACTCATTTTAATAAAAAAACAAATCACAGATACAGAGGAAAACTGTCGCCGAGTGCAATACTTGCGGAAATTTGCTGGTGAAGTAGACATGTCTTCGAAGACATGGATTATTCTGATGATGAAGAATTTCTAGAAGTTGCAGTAGGGTCAGCAATGGAGTCACAAGTTGACATTATGTGTGGCTTAGAAACAGACAGCGATGATTGCGATAGCGATGACACTAGCCCACAACAATCACCATCGAAAAGGCCTAGACTCTAGAGCAATGTTTATGAACATATAAACTTTGTTCTTCTTTAAACTAAATTTATCCTTAATTTTTGTTAATTTTCATAAAATCAATACTCTTCGGGCAGGAACACTCAGGTCTATAGCCCTTTTGGACTTATCTTATATTTGTTTTATATATGTATTTTTTTTTATTTATTCGTATTTGTTATAGTTATTATTTTTATATTCCAAATAAAAAATATTGTTCTCTCTCTCTAATGTACTATATTACTATATACTTATATTAGAATACTCTTTTATAGTTACAATTCCTAGAACGCTCAAGTAAAGACGTTATTTTTCAAATAGAATTTTTTTTTTTCGAAATTTGATAATTTTTTTGAAATTTCAGTCGATAAAATTAGTCCAACTTAATTTTTTACATGGATATATTAATGAAAATTATTTATTTAAGCCTTAGCTAAGCCTTAGTCTTTGCTGAAGAATGAAATGAGAAATCATCAATGATTCTTGAGTTATAACTGAAAAACTAAGCAAACAAACATCAAAATAAGGAAAGAAATATAAAAGGTCATAAAAAAAAAGTTTGGCCAAACCCTTTGGAGGTTTTACTATACTGGCCAAGTATTTTCATCCTGACTTGGAATTTCTCACCCCCCAGACAATGACCCCGAAAATGTTCCACAGTGTTATCATAATGTCCTCCTCCATCTCGATTCAATAATCAAAATTGAGCAACTCTTTGCAATCATCAATATAGAACACTCTCACCTTGTATTTATTAAGATATTTTCTTTTCTCTTAATACCTTGGATTATCATTAATTTTTTTATATTGAAGACTTTTGTAATAAGGAGCAACGTTAAATCATCGTTAAATATTATAGTCAGGCAACTTTATATACTCAATTGCATATTGAATTACATACATTTCAGTTTTAATTTTTTTTATAAAAATGTGTTAATAATAAACGTTACAAAATCATAAAAATATTGTCATGAATTTTTGTATTTAAAGTAAAATCAATATTTTTTTAAACAAGACGTTTAAAATAATACTTTATCAAAATATAAGTTAATTTTTTGACAGCTCAAACTTCATTCAAACTTTCGTTTATATCTCCTCTGATATTACCATATATAAATTAAATTAAATAAAATCAAAACTCATTATCTTATCTGATTAGCAATAAAAAAATAAACATCATTATAAGAAAAAGCATGAAATTCTTGATGATGAAATGTTTCGAATAAAAACGTCGACATAACCTCATTTCATTTCATGAGTGTATTCGCCAACATATCGAGAACGAATTAGTTTTGTTATGGCGACGAGCAGTTCGGACGAGAGTAGCTCTGCTCCAAGAGACTTCCATCTGTCTTCGTCCCTGGACAGTGGCAGTAGATTAAGCCCGAACGGCGAACGGTGCCCCCTTTGTGGCAGCTATAGAAAAAAGTTCTTCTGCAGAGATTGCATCCAAAGCGGAGAATTTCGTTCGGCAACACAACCAATAGAGACGTAATTATTCTACTCCTGTTTATTTTGATGATCTTAAAAAAAAATCATTATTTTAGGTTCTCAGAGAAACAAGCTCGATTATTTCGAACTCAAAAACAACTCGATAAACTCCAAAGCGATTGTTTACCAATCGTAAAAAGGAAACAAAGAGTTAAAGCTTTGGTGAGATATTTCCTATTGTTATTAAGTTTATTAATCTTTTTTAAGCGATATTTCTTAATTAATATTATTTTTTTCTTTTACGTTTATTTATAGTCTGATGAACTTAAACAAAAAACAGATAGGGTTCGTAATCTTAGAAGTGCAATCGCTGAAAAAAAGGAGCTTCAAAGGCGAAATAAAAGTAGGCTAGAAGAATTAATCACAAGCAATGAAAAATTGGTTAGAGATCTTCCTAAATATGAGGCTTTGGTACAAAAACGTGCTGATTGCGTTTTGGGGAAATTCAATGATAAGAATATCATCGGTATGAATTTGGAGGAAGAAAAAGAACAATTAAAAAAGATGGTTATTCTTAGAATAAGACAATTGATCAAATATATTTTTCCAATTTCCAAAAATCAAATTAAACCGTATGTTAAATCTAATATTTATTAACATTATAATAATTAAGTATCTTTTTATTAAGTGATATGGAAATTAGCCAGTCAGAAATTGCATCAGAATTAGCTGAAGCATCTCGAACGACATATGTAAGAAATCGTTGGGTTTACAGTATGGATTATTCAGGAGAATCGCATATAATTGTTGCCCCGTTTCTACCTGGTACTGGAAATTACAGTGCTTATAACGATTGGGGTAAACAAAACCGTACAATAATATTATTTAAATTCACTAAAACCTTGATATGACGGATTAATATGGGGAAGTGAGAGTCTGTTAAAGCCTTTACTTCTTCTCCTATGCCTGATCTCATTGAATAAATCTTTTTCCTATTCCTCCATCCATTTCTTCCACTCCTTCTGGTCCTGGCTAATTCCTTTCTTAATAATGTCTTAATATCTGCTTCCCTCTCTTCTTCCCAACTTTTGCTATTCTTTCCTCCCACTTCTTCCTAGGTCTTCCACTCTTTTTCTTATCCTTATTCTTCAAATACTTTTTTTACTATTGTGTTGTGTTGCATTCTAATTATGTGGGCGCACCAGTTTAATTGCTTTTTCTCTATTATTTTTCGCTGATTATCTCGTCTTGATCTACTCCCAATCTTATTAACTCATTCTTTATCCTATCCCACTTTAACTTCCGCGCTATTTTCCGTAAAAATTTCATTTCCATTGCTGTGATCTTTCCTTCTTGTTTATCTTGGAGTGTCCATGATTCACTGGCATATGTTAATATTGGGACTGCCACCGAGTTGTACACTGTCAACTTTATCTTATTGTCTTTCCTTCATCTCAAAAATTGTTCTGTTTAGAGTATGATATAGATTGTTAGTTTTCCTTATTCTTGCATTTATGTCTAAAGCTATCCTTCCATCTTGTGATATTATGCTGCCCAAGTACTCATATCATGACACTTCTTACATTTTTTGTTTCTTAATAAATATTTATTTCAGGTAATTTCTTATTTCCTTTTTATTTATTATTACTATTTTACATTTATTTACGTTCATTTCTAGGCCCATCTTTTCAATTTCTTCTGTCCATATTTTAACCAACTTCCTTGTCTTTTAATGGATCTCTACTATCAGCACTATGTCGTCAACATAGTCTAAATTATCTATTTTTACTGGTTCCAAACTTTTATAACCTATTACTGTTTGATATTTATTTATTCTTGTTCTTCTATGTTTTATCACTCTGTGCAAGGGGCTTAGGCTATCGACTTGTATTATTCCTTGCTCATTTCAAAAGTTTTTGATGTTTCTCCCTTCATTTGTACTATGCCCTTGACTTTCTTGTACAGGTTAGTTTTTCATGTACACCATATAATACTATGGTTAACGATGTCAAAAGTTTCTGTTAGGTCCAAGAATATTAGGTATAGTTCATTGCCCGTCTCTATTTTCCTTTCACTGATATTTTGGATTACATGTATGCTTATATTGTTCGTTTCTTTGCTCGCTCTGTATGCTGCTTGTTAATCTTCTAGTTTATATTCCACTACTCTTCTTAACCTTTTTTCTATTATCTTTGTGTATAATTTGTAACTTTTAGATAATAGACATATGGCTGTATAATTTTCACACTTCGAGTAGCTTCCTTTTTTATGTAATGGTAAGATGATCTTCCTAAACTTTCGGAATTATTTCCGACTCCCATGCGGTTTTATACAGGGTGTCACACAAAAAACGCCCCAAGCTGTAACTCTGTCATTTACATTCCGATTTTCATGAGCGGGTTATCAAATGAAATGGTTTCATGAATACTATGATTCATGGTACAAATAAATCTTTTCTAAGGCCATCTTCAATTTTAAGCGATTATTAACTTTTGCTTTTCAAATTGCTCTATATATTTTTCTTTACGTCATTGGATAGAGATTGTTTTTCTGAATCCACTGATGTACAATACATCCATTTTGAATATAATTTTAGCATTTTATCAATGGGCTCAGAAAACAATTTCTATCCCATAACGTGAAGAAAAACATACCGAGCAATTTGAAAATCAAAAGTTGATAATCGCTTGAAATCGAAGATGGCGTTGGAAAAAGTTTATTTGTAGCATGAATCATAGCATTCATCAAACCATTTCATTTGATGCCTCGGTCATGAAAATCGGAATATAAATGACAGAGTTACAGCTTGGGGCGTTTTTTGTGTGACACCCTGTATATACTTAGAAGCCACTCCTTCCCTTTTATTCCCAAATACTTTATCATCTCCGGATCTACCTTGTCTTCTTCAATTGTTATCTCTTCAGTTCCTATGTCTGTCGTCTCTACCCTTATCTTATCTTCACTTCCCTCCTCAATTGTTTGTGTCCGTTTTCCATCCTTGAACTTTTTTGCATAACCCATATGTCCAGAATTTCCCTTGTAGTTGTCTTTATTTAGTTGTTTTTATCTTTGACGCATTTATTTGTTTCCTTTGATCTCCCTTCAGTATTCTTATTTGATTCCAGAATTTCCTGTTATTCGATCCATATGTTTCATTTAAGCTTGTTCCAAACTTTTCTTTTTCGCCTACCTTTCCATATTCTTAACTACACCTCTGTTCGTTCTAGAGTTTGCTCTTTCCTCTTCCAAATTCGTTCTTATGTATTTCTTCCATGACTCTCTCTTCTTCTTGATTACCTGTCGGACCTCTTCATTTCACCAATGTGTTCTCTTTGTCTGATTATTATATTTTCTTATTAAACACACCTCCATAGCTTTATTTTGCATTATCTCATTAAAAATTCTCCACCTTTTCTCCATTGTTAAATTCAGTTTCTACTAGTTTTTGAAATTCGTTGTTTGTTTTTTCTTGGTGTTTTAGTCTTTCTTTCTCCTGCCTTAGTTTATGGATGTTTATTTTTGTGTAGGTTTTGATTTCTTCTTTTTCGATTTCTATATTATTAATAGTTGCCATGACTAGTCTGTGGTTGGTTCCCATTTCTGGTTCTGCTTCTGCTTCAGTCTTTACCTCCTCGACTCTATTTTGGAGATTCCGGATGTATTTGATGTAATCAATAATACTCTTAGCATTACTTTCTTCCGCCACAAACGTATTTATCTTGCCTCCTCTGGCTCCACATAGTATTTCCAATCAATAAGTCGTTTATTTGACAAAATTCCAGCATTCTTTACCTATTTCTATTCATTTCTGCCTCTCCCTTATCCCCATATTCTCCTATACTACCTCCTACCTTGTGTATATCATTACCTATTCTCCCATTCCAGTCTCCCATCATAATTACTTTCTCTCCTTGTTCTCTGGATTTATCGAAGGTTTTCTGCGGACTTGAGTAAAAATTTCGTATTTCTTCTTCTTCTGTTACTTCCGTTGGTGCTGCGTAGATTTGAATAATATTCACCTTTCGTTTTAGGTCAATTTCCAATTCCAGAATTCTTGAATTTACTGGTGCATACTTATTTACTCTTTTATTTAGTTCCTCTTTTATAATTATTCCTATTTTCTCCTTGCTCCATGTATTTTCTTGGACTCCTGAAAAATATAGACTATAATTGTTTGATAATTGTATGCTTCCCATTCCCATCTTTTTCGCTTCACTAATTCCCATTATTTCTATCCCAAACCTCTCCATTTCCTCCATTATTTCTGTTTTCTTTCCCTTTAATGTTGTAATATTCCACGTCCTCATCTTTATAACTTTCCTATTTTCTCCTTGCTTTTCCTTGCGTTTATCCATATCCCTGCCATTTTCATCCTCAGTAAAGTCTCCTCTTCTTTCTACACTTAGTTTTTTGAATATATAGAGTCTCTTTTTTTCTTTTTCCATATCGTCCGTTGTACTTTCCAAAACTGTATGTTTATTATTCCTGCCATCGTCTTCATCCACTATCTTCCCCTCTTCGTTTGCTTCATGCTTTACAATTATTTTGTTGTGTTGTAAATGAGCTTTAACTCCTTTCCTCCTGAGTTCCCGTAGTTCAGTCATCAAATCATATCTCTCTCTCTGAATTTTCTTAGAGTAGTCCTCATCTCTCCAGATATTCGTTCCTTTCAACTCTTTAACGTTTCTTAGGACATCCTTCTGCCTTCCTATTCTCTTGTGATCTCTCATTCAAATCTCTCTTCTTTAATTCCCTTTATTACCACATTTTTACGTCTTACCTCTCATTCCAGCATATACGTTTCTCTTGTTCCACAATCTTCCCTTTAAATTCCTCATCTTCCCTTTTGTATTCATTCATCTCCCTTTTGATGTCGGTCAGTTGTTCCTTTATGTCTTTGAACGTATTTTGAATTTTTTCCATATCTCAATACCTAAAACTATAATTAACTCTAGAATTGGAAACCTTCGGATTTAGCCGTTTATGAGACGTACGGCTAAAGCCGAGTGTTTCTGGTGTCTATAGTCTAGTATATGTTCTTGCATATGTCTAGTATTAGTTCTACTTTTAGTTCAATAAAAATATACAACAATCTAACGTTGAATAACAATTAAAACTAGAATTAACACTAGACCTAAAACTAGAAACATTCGGCTTTAGCTGTCTTACAAGACGAATGTTTCTAGTTCTAGGCCTAATTTTAGTTCTACTTTTAGTTCAATAAAAATATACAACAATCTAGCGCTGAATAACAAGTAAAACTAGAGCTACAGTCCTTGATTTATACATCATATAGACAACTCGGGGAATACTCTTAGTTTATCTATAAACATGGAACAGAGCAACTTGGGGAATAACTCAAGTTGGATTCTATCTATGAACGCTAACATTTATATTTAAATATACTGATGTGTTAAATAGATAATGTTAATGTAGATAAACAAATATTTTGTTTGTCCGTTATTAAGTCCGTTCTAACGAGGTCCGTTATATCGATGTTTTACTGTATTATTATTATTTTATTTTTAGTTGCTCAAAATAAAGATCAACCCGGAGCAACAGCAAACGTTCCGGTTCATCAAAACCCGGCGTTTCGAATAAGCGCCGCTTTAACTTATACGGCCCAATTAGTCCACGTTTTGGCGTTTTATTTGGACGTTTTTCTACCGCATAAATTAAATTACAGCGATTTTTGCACCTCAGATATTAGCGATCAACAATTTTTGAGAAGAGTGGCTCGATTGAACGCGAACGTTTTGCAACTTTGCGTCTCGCAACATACCGATTTAAATACTCTTCATCCTAGACAAACTCTTCATAATATTATACAACTTTTAGATTCTTCCGCAAGCCATCTTGGAAGGTAAATTAATTATTTTTTTGAACTCAAAGTCCTATTAGTAGAAATTAACTTGATCTGGTATTTTGTATTTTAGAACTGGACCTATTGAAGTTGATAATCAAATCGCAGCTGAACTAGAAGAACAACTTTCGGCGGATTTGTTGAATACTGACGATTCAGATTCGGAGGAGAGTGATGTTGTTGCTAATGAATGGGAAGCTGTAAGTATATCATCTGAAAACTTGTGATCAATATGGTGATATTTAAAAAGTAATAATATATGGTGTTTCAAAAATAGTGTGGAAGGGAAAATTTGTGTGTTGTAGAAAATCAATTTTTACAATGAAATTTGATTGAATTATTGACAATTTGCTTGAAATGTCTGTCAGTTAACGAATCGTTGAATTATGAGTTTTATTATTGTGCTACTTTCTGGGTGACTAGTTTATGAAAAAAATTAAAACAACTGTAGGAATATCTGTGTATATACTGGTCTCCTTCGGGAGATATATCGTTATTCGCGGGCTTACTTGAGCGTTTACTTCTTAATTTTCGCAGTCGTCGTGGTCCCTTGATTGTTTGTGGGGACTTCAATATGGATTTTGCGGCTCATCAGTGTTCCCATGTGATTGACACAATTAATATTCTTATATCCCATGACCTTCACCAACGAATCTTCAGTCATACTAGAGTAAAGAACGCATCAGCCACTATTATTGACAACATATTTACTAACGTGGTAGTTGGTTTGGTGGCCAAAAACAAAACATAAGACAGCTCAACAACAGCTGGCACAAATCCAGCGGTTAGCATGTCTTAACATAACGGGTGCAATGAGATCCTGTCCGACGGCTGCTTTGGAAGCCCTACTCGGTCTCACACCGCTCCACATATATATACAAAAGGAGGCAGCCTTAAGTGCCTTATCACTGAAAACAGTTTCTTCACTCAAGTTGATGCAGGGTAATCTCAGAGGACACCTCGAGATCCTCAAAGACCCATGTCTAAATCACCTGATTGAAATTAAAACGGACCTTATACCGACGGAATACAATTTCAACCAACCGTATAAGGTCATATTTAGTAGCAGGGATGATTGGGCGAAAGGAGGGCCTCAACTAAAAAGAGGAGCCCTAGCCTGGTACACCGATGCTTCAAAGACAGTAAGATCTGGAGTAGGCATGGGCATCAGTGGACCAAATAGCCACATCAAATTGCCCCTCAGCTCGGACTTAACAATTTTCCAAGCAGAAGTTCTTGCTATAAACTTCTGCACCGCTTTGAACCTACAGAAGGGACAAAAAGGTGCATCCATAAACATTTTCACAGACAGTCGGGCCGCCTTAAAGGCAATTCAGGCCTACACGTGTGGCTCCGCACTGATCAGAGAGTGCACCAACAACCTGAGAGAACTCGCTAGGGGCAATGATGTTACCCTATGGTGGGTTCCAGGTCACAGCAACATTGAGGGCAATGAGAAGGCCGACAAGCTGGCCAAAGAGGCAGCAAACACGCCCTTCATTGGACCCCAACCTGGATGTGGACTACAAAAAAGCCACCTAAAACAAATAATCAACAACTGGGAGGCTTCAAAGATAGCCTTACGCTGGAAAGAACTTCCAGGTCACAGACAAGCGAAGAGTATGATAACTCCGTCGCAAAACAAAACCAAAGAGGTTTTATGCCTCAGCAAAGGGGATCTAAGAACGCTCTCAGGCTACCTAACCGGCCATGTGCCCCTAAAATACCACCTCTTCCACATTGGACAAGCTGAGGATCAAACTTGTCGACTATGCAACGACGAGTCAGAAACTGCTGAACATATACTGTGCAATTGCGTCGCCAGAGGCCGTCTAAGGCACAACGTCTTCGGTAAAACTCCCCTGTTACCTACCGACATAAAGGTTCAAGACCTCAGGACAATACTAAGGTTCATTAAGGACCTACATTTGCCCTAAACCTTTGGAGGGCTAAAGTTACAATAGATCTTATAGGTCGCGGTAACGAGAGGGGCCGCCCTCCTCAGCCCGGCAGCAATAATAATAATAATAACGTGGTAGTACCTAACAGCTCCAAGATGGTTCACACGAGTTTCTCCGATCACCTTGCTCAAATTACTTCTATTCCTATTCCAGTGTGTGCCAAAAGTATACACCCACATTTAGCATTGACACGTTGGTTTAATAAGGTTAACCTGAGTAGTTTTGTAACAACCCTGAGCACCTTTAAATACTTAAATTTCAGGCATTTCAGTTTTCAGGCATCTTTTTCGTCATTTTACAGTCACTTCTGTAATGGCTTCCAATCCAGCTACTCCTTGAGGAAATCTGTTATCAAATCCACCGACAAGGGGTGGATTACGTAGGATATTAGGAGACAGTCTAGCGACCTGAGGAGCCTCCATCACTTATGTAAACTAGTAAGGAATCCGGTTTTAGATGCGGAATATAAGGATCGGTTGAGATGTCATTTGGACTGCCAAAAAGATGTACTATAGTAAGCTATGTTCAACAGCAAGCAATAAGTCGAAAATAGCATGGGACCTGGCCCGACAGGAGCATTCTTTAGATAAAATTATTACAGCGACTAATACCTTTATAGGTGATAACGGCGCCGAGGTCTCAGCTCCCATTGATATTGCTGAACTTTTTAATGAATTTTTTATCAATTCTGTTGGAAAATTGGTGAGCTGCTCGACTGTAATGTTTCTGAGGCACTAATAAGCATAAAAAATAATGACTGCTCACTTTTTCTAACTCCAATTACAGCTTCAGAAGTTGCTAACATAATTAAGTCCGTGGCTGTCAAGCACTCGAGCGGTTGTGATGAGATACCTTGTTCCTTGTTGGGCAAGGTATCTCACATTGTAACTGATACATTGACAGCTCTTATTAATGAGTCGTTTGTATGCGGGGAATTTCCGCTCAAGATAGCCTCCATAACCCCCATTTTCAAAAAGGGAGATCCTTCAGTGATGTCCAATTATAGACCTGTAGCTGTTCTTCCGGCAATTTCAAAGATTTTTGAAAGAGCATTTTTTACGCGTCTAAATGAATTCGTTAACAAGTGTAATATAATTAATAATCATCAGTTTGGCTTTAGGACTGATAAGTCAACTCAGGATGCTGTTTTGGATTTTTATGCATCTGTGGTGGAGGGTCTGGATGCTCGGTCTGTCTGTTGTGGCCTATTCTTTGACTTGTCTAGAGCGTTTGATACTCTACATCACCAACTACTCTTAGAAAAATTGAGTCGATATGGTATTCGAGGCCCAGCCTTAGCGTGGATTCAAAGTTACCTGTCTAGTAGGCAGCAGCTGGTAAAGTGGTCAAAGAATAATAGTACTGTCTACTCGTCTCTCCTCCCAGTGCAATATGGAGTCCCTCAGGGGAGCATATTGGGGCCGTTGCTTTTCATTTTGTACATAAACGATGTCCCTTTATCTTGTGCAGATTGTACACAGGTTTTATTTGCCGACGATCGTTCCGTCGCAATAAAGGCTAAATCAGTTCCGCAGTTGTCAATGAGGATCACTGATGTTGCTCGCGAAATGCTACATTAGTGATCCTCATTGACAATCAAAATGCAATAAACCTGATTTCAGCGTGCTGGGTAAAGTCGACGGAACATCGGTTAAATCTGCAGACAATGTGAAATTTCTTGGTATCCAGTTTGATGCACACTTTTCCTGGGATGAGCAGACACGAGTTCTTTCAAACAAGCTGTCGTCACTCTCGTTTTTGTTTTTGAAACTTCGGAAGGTACTTGATACCGAAATTGTCAAAACTATTTATTACGGTTTGGTTTATTCCCATCTAAATTATGGCATTGTGTGTTGGGGCAATTCTTCGACTTCACAACGGGTGTTTGTGGCCCAGAAGAAAGTCATTAGGTCGATGTTTGATTTGTCTTATAATGAATCATGTAAGGAATCATTTCGAAAGAATCGCTTATTAACCATGCCTTGTGTTTATATTCTGCAATCACTCTTATATGTAAAGAAACACCTTACGGAGTTTGCTAGGAGTGGTGATATAAATACTCAATACCCCACTAGGCAGGCTGGAAATCTGTACATACCCAAATGCCGACTGTCTCTCACCCAAAATAGCCCTCAACATATGATGATTCGCTTATACAATCATTTGCCGATAACATTTAAGAGGCTTGATTTCAACCGTTTCAAGTATAAATTGAAAATCTTCCTTACATCCAAATGCTTTTACTCAGTGGGGGAATATTTACTAAACACGGAATGGGACCACGACGATGACAGAGAATTGCAGTAATTTGTTTTGTTTCCTTTTGTGATTGTTTTTTGTATTTTCGCTGTGCATGTTCGCTGTGAGATGACGAAAGTACGTATTGTACTGACTATCTTTTGTAATCATTAGCGTAAGGACAATTTCTGATGCTGTACAGCCTATGGAAATAAAGATATTATTATTATAACAATAAGCATTGACAAGTTTTGTCAACCAATTTGTCAATATACAGTCAGCACTTTTTGGTCTTTGGAATTAGAATTGGTACTCTTGTAACAGAATGTAAGAGGAATTTGTTTAAACCAGAGTTTCTTTGACCTACATTGCTGACTCAATATAGTGGATTAGGGCTTTTCCTTTCTGACTTTTTTCCAATAAGTCTATCAAAGGTGACTCCAACCTTGTCTACATAAAACATTGCTGGTTACATACCGGGAATTTAATATATTACGCAATATATGAATGCAGTAACCATAGTTACGAAACTACTATGCAGTTGCACTGAATTGATATTGGTTTGAATTATCCTTTTCTTTATTTCCTCGCTGACCGAATTTTTATTATTCATCAGAGACCCCAAGTATACGAAACTGCTAGTCGTTTTTATCTTCTCATCCTCAACTTCCAATGTTCTAGTATGTTTTCACCACTAGCCTTAGCCACCACATACTTGGTCTTTGTAAAATACTGTACCTCTTACTACCGTTTTGACAGGACAATGTTAAAAAGCAGACGTGAAACAGCCCACCTCCCTGTCGTAGACCTTCCAGGCTTTCTAATGTTCTTGACAGATCTTGTGTTTTGACTTTACAGGAACCTTCCTTGAAATTTAAACATATCATTGCTATCAGATGAAGAGGTATAATATTGAACTGCGACTTGTTTTACTTTTAATAAATTTTGTTAGAAAAAGGTCTATTTTCTGATCATATACTATATGCGGATTTAGTATCACATGACCAGAACTGCTACCAAATCCGGCCCAGACCTGAAAGGGTTAATTTTGTTTTCATTCCATAGTCAGTAGATACGCCCTGGTTTGTATGGAAATATATTTTTGAATATACACTGTTGGAAATAATTCACGAGCACACCCTGTATAATCTGAACGCGTGTGTCTAGCGCAATAAAATTTGGTATGGAAGTAGTACTAAAGTAGCATAACTTACTCTCACATGGAGAACGGCACAACTCTGCTGGGAGGAGAAACATCAATAGCGAGAGTATCCCCCGTGAGCTTCGCGTACCATCGCTACACGACGTGGCATGGAGTCTATAAGTCGCTGTATTGTAGCAAGAGTCATGGTCTGCTATACACACAGCAGACGTGTACGTCCACCATGTGTAATAGCACCCCAAACCATAAT